TCCGTGTAAACAAAATTTCGCAATTCCGGTTGGTTGATTTACACAAAAAAGTCACGTGGGTACATGGCTTTAGACGATCTCCATAAATAGCAACAATGTCACACAAGCACAACAGGCAAAAAAGTTACACGGCACATTAGATTAATACGTAGGGTGTTTCAAAATTAAAATCAGTGAATCTTATTTTATTTTCCGATTTATAATTCAATATAAATAAAAAAAATCCTACTTATTTTCGAAATGCATCATTCACTTGTTAATTTTGAAACCCCCTAATAAATAAATTTTGAACTAGTGCTAATTATGAACTTGAATGATTTATTTTGAATGCTTATATTAATAAATGTTCTTCACGCTCATATATCAAATTATTCGTATAAAAGAAATTAAATGACAAATGAGTGTTGCTAAAAGAAAACATACACATTTAAACATAACCTATATAATAAATGTGTATGTTTTCTTTCAGTGACACTCAAATATAATAATATTTGCATTCACAGCTACGTACGCACATCAATTATTGTCACAGCTGATGTTAAAATTGGCTGATGCCGAACTTTGGTCTCAATTTGAAAATATAAGCCCTACTTGATTATAAATTCTAGTCCATAACCCAATCCTAAAAAAAATGAAAAAAATTTCATATCAAAGTAGGTTCAAATTCCACGATCATTCTTAATTTATTCTTATTTCCGATGTAAAATTAGCCAATCATATAGTTTAAATTCACGTAAAACATAAATAATGGGTACCCACGGGTAAGGGAACTGGGCAGTAGTACTACCCAAGCCCTACCCATTTCGTAAGGGCTCAATGTCTCGAGCCCTTACCCTTACCCTAGGGCTTGAGATTTGATACCCTAGACCTGCCCTTGTGGGCCTACCCGCGGGTACCCATGGTAGCCCTGGCCCATGCGGAGGCCAACCTGCTTGGGAGTTGCTCTGGATAGTTATAAAAAATACAGTGAATACAATAGTAAATCAAAGACAATTATAGTACCAGGAACATTAGTGTATGGTTTAAAGGCAAATAAACCGAAAACAAAATCTTAAAGTTGATTGGATTATGCGTTTGAACAGATCACATTTTTCTCATGATACTAATTTTGGAGATCAGTTTTCTCACGCATGATCAATGATTTGTCGCTTTAACCTTTTATAAAATGTTTTTGAGATACAGGTTTTTATTGGTATTATGGTAACTGATAGTAAGAGGGTATTATCTTTCTCTTTGCTATCGTTCGCTTTGCAGGCTCTATCGCCCTTCCATCCTGCCCATTTTGCAGTGACTTAGCAATAAACTTAATACTTAGCAGCTGGTTTGTTAGACGGAATGCATTGATAAGTAAAGTTAGAATTCGCAATTGCAAATACCTTGTTTATGTAGCAATAAGCTCCAAGGCTGCAGTAGCAGCACAAGGCCTTACCAGTTAGGCTTTGCAAATACAGTAGAAGTGCAAGAACCTTATCAATTAGGCTCTGTGGATATAGTAGAAGTGCAAAGGCCTTACCAGTTAGGCCTTACAGATGCAGTAGAAGTCGAAGAACCTTGGTTTTAGACTCTATGTCTAAAATAATTGTGCAAGAAATTTTGTTAAATGGGTTGTGAACTTAGCGCTAAATAAGCAGCATTCACATTATATGAAACTAATTCTTTTCACAGTTATATAGAAATCTTCTTGTGTACTTAAAGTTTAAAGGAAAATTAAGTTGTGTTATAAGTTTAGTTTTAGTAACATTGTTTTAGAAAAATGATATAGATGTTAAAGATAAAGCTTGTAATAACAGTGAATAGATTCCTATATGGTTTTCAAGTATCTTCAATAAATTCATCTGATTGAGCAATTAAAACATACTGTTAACCAAGCTTCAATGCATTTTTACCTGATCACTATTTGTAACATAGTCAATTTCTCTCAAATAGTGATAGTAGTACTGATTATATATTAAGTTGATTATTTATTTTAATATATTTAAGTTACTCATCTTTTAGTAGCTTCTTTTATCTCTGTTGATTTAGTTTGTAAATACAATAATTATTTATTTAATTAAAGTCTCTAAGATAACCTATTTAATTTTTTTATTCTTATAAATTTAATATATAAAAACCATCTTTAATTAAAATATTATGATAGTCTTTTATTACTTATTTATTATTTTCTTTGTATTTATTTTATCTGTATGCATAATAATAAATTTATTTAAGCTAACCACCTTTATCTAATATTTTTTTATTTGCATTGATTTATTATTATCACATCATTATTTTACTAATCTATATATTTATGTAAATAAAAATTTATTTAATCTTTTGTAAATTACTAACAATATTATATTTTAAACATAATAAACTAGTTAAATTAATTTGTGATCTGTATGCAAATCAGTGAAAATTATTAAGATCACGCAAGAGAAATTTCATGAATTAATAAGAAAAAGCTAGTAATCGGTCTTTTTTAGCAATTAAGTAACATTAGAAGAACACGACTTTTGTTGTTATATTACACAACAGAAACCGTGATATAATGCCAAAAAATTCTTTTTTTAACTCGCTTATTATATTTTATTGTGAGTTTTACTAGTTATTGAGCTCCAAAGCCAGATTACTGGCAAAAAAACTACATACAAAATTATAATTTTAAAACATTACATTTTAAAATTTCATTATTTTAGTTAATTTGATTTCCTTGCCACGGCCTCTTGCTTGTGTTCTCATGTGTAATAACCAATCCAATTTTGAATTGTGGCAACTTTAGGTACTTCTTCTACTTTAATTTCACCTTCTTGTGCATGTTGAACAAGTTCATCATGCATATCCTGTGCCGTATATCTATCACTTTTATTTATATTTCCTGCTAAGAAATATCCTTCTAATAGCGCTCTAATTTCAGGTGATATTCGCTTTCCTGTACCCTTTCGTCCAAACTTTTGATTTGCCTTAAGAGCCCAACCCGAATTTAGAGAAAACTTGTCCACTTTGAAAATATGACAATTCTCTTTGTTAGATATACTATTTGTTTGGTTATGAGCTATAGAAAACAATAATTCAATTATTTATCATGTTCAAAACCATGTTGACAACGATATACCTATTTTTGCCTGCTTCGTATCTTCCACCAATTGGTTTTCTAGTAAATTTATCAATTGATCTTTATTTTCTTTATTATTGAACCTAAAGTTTCGTTTTTCTAATTCTTTCACTAGACTTTCTCTTGTAAGACGACTCGGAATAAGACCTTGACAATAAAAAAGCCTAGTTATTACTGAATATAATAAATTTGAACAGTATTAAGGACATACGTGATAAATTCGGCATTAGCATTTTCTATTCTGATGAAGGTGTAGTATGTGTCGATACTTGTGGTATGGGCTTATGAATGTCTTTTTTGCGAAATTTATCTAATTCTGCTATAGTAAAAATTTTCTATTCACCTATACTAGGAATATCTCGTGCTTTAATACATCCGGAAAATTCACCCGTTGTTGGCCATTGCCACTCAAACCAGTTAGAATTTCCAGGTAATGTATTATTACCACTACCTCTGTCCCGAATAGGATTCAGATTTGCAACAGAAGTCCCTTTAATTCCTGTGATCGCATTCTCAATATCCTGTCCTACTGTTACATCAAAGCCTAAACGAATATATCGATTGATTGCATGTGATATCTGATTCGTTGTAATAAAAAATAAAAAAATAAAAGTCAATATACGAGTGTAGGTAATATGAATAATTTACTAGCAGTTATCATACCTGTGCATGATGAGAATTGATTGTAGTTTTCACTTCTCCTGCTTCCAAAAAAATCTATCTGCTTACATTAATTCCATACTATTCCGGCCAATATCCCATTATCATCATTAGATCAGCATTATGGTAATGACCCCGTTATCTGACATTATTATCACTGATTCAGGTTTTGGATCTAATGTTTCAATTACTGCATGAAGTGAAGATGCTGTGAACCACGAATCTTGACATGAATCCATGGACCAATGATCAAATGCTTGAATTCGTAATTTTGTTGAGTTGGATTGTGTAGTATATACAAGGACTGAGTGAAGAGACCAGCCTTTTTTGCCAAACCAATCTTGTTTAGTTTCACGTGCTGTTTTAGATAGTATTTTCATTTTGTAGTCGACTAGTATTAAAGCGGTTTTTTTATTCAGATTTAACATGTTTGCATTCAATTGAGCGTTTAAATACGCCTTTCTTGTCTGATGAGCCAAGTAATAGAGCAAATGATTGTACAGATCATCCAACTTTTCATAAATTGAAACACTAATATTATTACGTAACATATCAAAAAATTGAAAAAAAGTATAACAGTCATTACAAGTTTGAGTATGAGGTTCGTAGCACTGTCTGAATGTATATAAAAGACAATGATTAATGCAAGTATCATGGAATGTCGTTCCTTGTGGAGTAATATGGAAATGTTGTTCATAATCCCGTTTGAGAAAATGCTTCAATTTTTCACATTCTAACAATAATTGTCTCTGTAATAACAAATATGGTATGTATTAGCTATTATCTATGATGTAATATTTATTTTAATACCCTATCATTATAATTTCCCACGAGATCATACCATGACTGGGAATCTTCCATAGGAAGATTCCCAGTTACAAATAATTATATGAAAAATTATAATAAAGGTAGGCATGAATTCATACAGGAAATTCCTGGTTGGAATGCATCGAAATCCTGGTTGGCAAGGCCAAAAATGATCAAATTTGCCCAGGATCACTAAATTTTTACTAATGAAATCGTAGCCGTTCATTAAGTGAAAAGTGCGCAGCTAATAATTTTGTTATAAAATCTACAAACCACTAGGGCTAAATGCCGACCTAAATCTGACCAGGAATTTTTGTGATTGTTCTGTAAAAATTGGTAGGCATAAACAACGTGAGTTAGGGATATTGATAGCATCTTGGAATATCAACATCCCCATGTTTCGATATTGGCCAATTAGGATCCCACACTATATAAGTTGAATTTCTATGCCTAATCATATAATGCAGATAACCCTTTGGGCCATCTGTATTCTATAATCATCGGGAATCTCGCTGTAATTTTTTCCCAGAAAATTAAGAATACTACCAGACTTAATTACCTGAATTACATGTTCTACTACATGTTTTTGAATTAGTGAGATAATATCTGAAAATATTTCGTAACCATATTGTGAACACGTATGGCATAATCCACCCAAATCTTCTCGATATATGTATTTATTTCTCTCCAACCTAGTGTAAAAACTAGTACAGCACATTCCATTCGGGTATTCTTCATGAAATTTGTTCCACAGTATATCTTTTGAATTTTTCAGGTAATATACTGGTTCATTTGTAATAGGGTTAGTTTTATATGAGCTCATTATGATATTAGCTTTGTCCATTAAAAAAGATTGTAATTGTGCATTTTTTTCTGACGACATTTTTTCATGTCTAATTACAGGTTTGTTAGTAACTAATCCTCCAGGCCTATAAATGTATGCATGCTTTCGTGCAGCACAAATTAAATCATTCGAAACCTAAAAAAAATAGTAAGCTTAAAAAGGGAAGTAGAAATTGGTATGGTAGTAATAAGTTCAAACAGGCTACTTATGCCTAAGTTTTTTTTAATAACTTTATAGTTGAAATCATTAGCAATTATAGATAATACTCATCGACGCCTATCTATGCCGCATTTATTAATTTTCAAAGAATTGTGAAAAGAATTCCAAAAAGCATTCATAGAGGAGTATAAGGGAGCTGAAGTAACAAATCCAAGATTGTATAATGTAGACAAAGAACTTCTATCACTATCCGGAGTAATGGACCGAGACCAAAACTCGAACTATAGAAATCGATTCACATCAATTAAGTATACATATAAATTGTAAAATTTATTAAAACGGCTACTTACTTTTGACTGATCTTTTTCATATGGGGTAATATCAGAACAACCAACATTTTTTAGCATTGCTTTCCAGGCTCGAAATTCCTGATCTCCAATTTCATATTCTATTGGGTAGATCAGCTGCAGGGCCAACCTTAATTTAATAATTGTATTTGGTTGTTCTAACCAATTGCAAAAAAATTGATACCAATTTATATTCACTATTATACGACGTTTAAGGTGCTAATTGTAAATATTAGTCATTATTTCTTTGTTATTCCATTCATTCAAAGTACAACACGGGATTTGAGCTGCTTGTATAAGGTTTTTTGTGTATTGATTAGTCAATCCAAAAAGTTGATTTCCATTATATTGCTGTAGAATTCCAATTTTTGCCAAACTAAATCCGGATTTTGTTCAATAAAGTTTATATATACATTGCATTCGTAGTAAATTGTTACTCTGCAGTGATTTTTATTAATTTCTTGAAAAAACAAAGCCCGACTTTTATTATATTGATATATGAAGGCTGATTTAAATCTGGGGCCTGCTAAATTAGTTGTAATTTCATTAGAGCCAATTCTTACTATCCAAATTCGAAGGATCCCAAGTTGAAAATTATAAGGGCGAAAGGGTAAATCTGATAATAATTCGTCTGTAATAATTGTTTTATCAAATCCTAGAACTTCTGGACCTGAAAATTTTGTCTTGGTTTTGAAAAGTTGATGATATACAGAAGAAATAGCTACTGTTGCCGTTTCGCATATATCACTTTGAATCTTACCACATTTACAAATATATTTGGGGTATGGACCAAAAGCAGAATTAGATTGAACTACTTTAGTAATAAATTCACATGCTTTTAATATGACTAATGTTTTGAAATATAATCGAATAGGGTATAGCTAGATTATTTCATTTGCTTTATCAATAGGCCGGGGAAGCCACCAATTATGGCAAAAAGGCCCAAAATACAAGCTTTCATCCCATATACCGCGAAAAAGTAATAAAATTGTATATTCTTTGTGTTTGGGCATGTAAAAAAAAAAATATATCTAGTGAACTTTAGTAGATTCTAATACACGTTCAAAACCTTTAAGTTAATTATCCCCACACTTTAATATTAAAATTCACTGATCTGCATGCGGATTATGAATTAATTAAAATGATCTAATGAGTAAGTGAATATTAGTTGATAGGTAAATACTTTTAATAGTAAGAAAGTTTATAATTTTAACAATTAGTAGATTTGTAATATTAGCAATAGTGATTTAATGATCTCAATATTAAATAAATTACAATTTTGACAGTAGGTAAACTCATGATTTTAATAGTAGATAAGTCAATAATTTTAATCATAAGTAAATTTATAATTTTAATTATATATTGATTTATAATTCAATATTAGAATCTCAATAGTAGATAGTTTTATATAATTTTGCAATAATTTTTAATAGTAAATAAGTTTATAATTCTAATAGTAGATAGATTAATAAGTTAATTGGTGATTTGCCAGTCAACCAGAGAGAGGTTATAGTATAATGTGACACAGTTTACATATAAAAATTAGGGTTTTGCAAATATGGGCTGCATCATACTAAAACTTTTTTGTATTAAGTTAATCACCTTTGGGCTTCTAATTGAAGTTGTAGAGCTCATTAAAACGAATCTAATGGTGGTTAAATTATCAAAATCGGCTTTGTGGATCATGAAATATATTCAAAAACTTTTTGCTGACTATGTAAAATTTTTTTCAACAATACTATTGTTGAAAGAGAATTTTACATAGTCAGTGAAATGTTTTTCAAAGATATCTCATAATTCACAAAGCCGATTTTGATGATTTAACTACCATTAGATTCATCTCAATGAGCTCTACAACTTCAATTAGAAGCCCAAAGATAGTTAACTTAGTACAAAAAAAAGTTTTAGAATGATGCAGCCCATATTCCCTAAACTAATTTCTATATGTAAATCATGTCACATTATACTATAACCTCACTGGCGAATCATCAACTAATATAATTATTTTAATAATATATTATTTATGATTTTAATAACATATATAATTTAGTAATTATATCATTTAGAATTTATTTTTTATATATTTTCAAGTTATAAATTTGAAAAGATAAAAACAATGATATGTTAACTTTTAAAAAGTATCTAATTAAATTATATTTCTAGTTTAAGTGTGACTATATTGTGCTACTATTCTAATTCTAATATAAAAAAAATTTAAAATATAAATAATAATACAGAATTAGAATATATTTAATAGTCTGCATTTGAGAATAACTTAGTTTAAAACTGTAGCCTAAATTGTAAAAATATCAATATATACAGTAAAATATAGTCAGAGATTTTATCAAAAATAGATATTGAAGATTATTCTTTTATAGTATAAAAATATTGATTAGA